AAAAAAAAGACTAAAACGATCACAAGTGAAAATGCTTGCTTAATCTTATGCTCTAGAGCAGGGGTGTCAAACTGGTGGCCCACAGGCCGCATGCGGCCCCCAAAGTAATTTTTGTGACCCACAATGCTCTGAAATAAAATGAAAATAGAAAAAATTGCTATGAAGAAAATAGCGCTTAGGGGAGATCGAGGCAATACAGTACACACAATTCCCTTGTTAACCCTCTAACTACTGAAGACAAGTATACACGTAGCCCGGTGCCTTTCCTGGGGGCCTGTGGACATGTATAAACGCACTGACTTGGTTCTGGCAACATTTGGAAGCGATGCGTCTGCCAGTCTCAGTGTCACGTAATGTAAACAGATCCCAATAGCGAAAAGGTTAAAAAGAGCACTCGGTTTGCTGTTATGAATCATACCTAGTGGCAGCGCTAGTTAACATTTTTAGAGGGAAGCCATTACAATTGTGCATCATGTTTGTCAGCTGTCCAACATTTTGTGTTATTAGTTACTTTATTATATTTTCTGGTCACAACATAAGAGGGAAGTGAAACCTAGTAGTAGGAAAGCGCTGGCAAGTTTTGGGTAAAAAAATTTTAGTTTTATAAATACATGAAATAAAATAAATGTTTAAATAAAAGCAATTATATAGTGTTTTAATTATACTATTCATATTCCTGAATCCTCACTTCAAAATATAAATTTAACAAAATTTGTAAATGTGATGTGGCCCTTTTGAATCTTGCCTGTTGCACCAAATGGTCCGCGTTTTAGTTGAGTTTGACATCCCTGCTCCAGGGGAGATAAAGGGTTTTGATACAGAAATGTTAAAAGCATACCTGTATTCAGCATTGGTGTCCTCGATTGGATTTTGTTCTCCAGAAATATATGAAAACTTGGCTTGGGCCATGATCCCAGTGGTTTGGTAGCTATGTAACGATATACTATGGCAGTTATATGATGACCTGTCCCATGGTGTGTTCAGATATGATAAGCCAATGAGAGGATTAAGGGTGGAACACTCGAAACTCAAGTGCCTTCAAGTCCATTCTGACGCAGTGGCTCTGTGGGACAAGGTCCAACTGCCCCTGTGCATTTCTGAGACGGTAACTCTTTACTGGAGTAGAAAGCCTCATCTTTCTCCCAAGGAGCGGCAATTGGTTTCAAACTTCCAACTTGCTACTTGGATAGTTTGGTCTGAACTGGCTAGAACCTGACCAAATGAAAAAGATGTGTGGCATTGTGAGTTGGGTACATTGCTACAATTCAGAATGAAAACTCTTCACATCAAAGAACATACTTGTCTCCTCAGAGTTCTGGATTAATAGGGAGAGAACAATTTAGAAATCCCCTATGCAAAATGGGAGCTGGTCAAGACATGCAGTAGCTGGCTGACAAGCTTTTGTAAGTATGCTTCATCTCCAAATGAGTGGACAAGGGAGACTCCCACTAAAGAGCTTGCGCTTCTCCTGATGGGACTGGGGAAGAGAGGGCGAGAAAAGATGTTGACAGGACGTTGTGATCCAGTTGTGGGTGACTGATTGCTAACCAGGTTAATTGTGATTGTTCATTGTATATGATGCAAATGTGAAAGAGGTGGGTGGTTACTTCTTCCGATATAAAAGGGAAAATGACTAGAAGAGCCAAAGGCTGGGCTGATTCAGTGCAGTGAAATTACTTGGTGAGTCTCATCTCTTCATAGTCTCTGAAACTCCCCCCAAATGATTGGTGGGACCATGCAAATAGGATATGTGACTTTCTAACAGAGAGGTCGGTCAGTTTTGTCATTCCACGTGGTGTAAAGTGATCCACTTCAAAAACAGAAACAGAGGATTCCATGTACAGCTGCAACAATGGACTCAAGGGTCACAAA